ACTTATTAATTCTTATAAACCTTAATCTGAGCAATCAGGGCCGTCCAAAGCCATGTTCCTAATTGGCTGAATCGGGGCCCGGATGGAATGAAAGCTCAATGCATCATTGTTCAGACGTTGGTTTTGGGGTGACAAGTTCATTTTTCCCCTACTACAAGTTGGATTTTATAAGCTGGAGGGGGATGTAAGTGATCAGTCAGTTTGGCCCGTTCCCTTCGTAAGGTAGGTATTATTGTTCCCATTCCACAGAGGGCACGGGAGTGAAATGCCACCACAGCCCTAACGTCGGTGACACAGAGGAGGGTGGGGTGTGCGCCCAGGCCTTCCTTCTCCCTCAAGGTCGTTCTGTTGTCAGGTCTGGAAACACACACTAGATTCGCACTGAATCGACTTTAAAGTCCCCTGTAAATGTGTAGCACTCCCTGGACTCGCTGGTTCCTTTGACCTGTTTTCATTTTTTTTTCTGTGAGCAGCCCAGCAGTATGTCACAGGATGGTAGACAACTTACGGTCCCCAGAACATTCCCCTCCGCTGGGGTTCCCACCCTCCTCTAGTTTGAGGGCACCAACGAGATTCCCCTGCATTTACTCAGCTTGTCAGCACCTCTCCACAACTACCTTCCTGAGTGGGAGCTCGAGACACAAAGCCAGGGCCGGGGAGAAAATGGTTCGGACACGGCGACTTCTTCTGTATTTATACACTGGACCATTTCTCCAGAGGGAAGCACATCCCCTAGCCAGCCGTGGTAAAACAGACAGACACACAAACAGACAAACAAACCAGCACCTTTGAACAGGCGGTACTAGGAATCACCTCGTAAATGAACAACGGCTTTCCGAACATGAGCTATGTAGAAAATGAGAAAAGAGATCATTGTTCTGGGAGGACTTGACCTGGGTGTAGCGTTGGGAAACTGGAGCCCGCAGGGCGGTGAGCTGCTGGCTGTGTAACCGGGAGAGTGAGGAAGCGGTCGCTGGGCAGTTGAACTCCAGCCCGGTGTGTCTGTGCTCCAGCTTCTGCGTGCGGCCGAGACTGTGTTCTGCACATCTCAGGGGCTCCATCCCCAGAGACCTCAACGGGCATGGAATGTTCTGGACTTTGCAGTCCACAGCCTGCACATCACCATGACGGCGCGTTCTCTGCAATCTGTCCTGAAAGTTTGTCACAATTTTTTGAGCCTAGGTATGGCTTTTTCTGTAAGAGTTAAGCAAGAGGCATGTCATCCTACGTATCAGCCTTAAAGTGAGGTAGTGGTCTTAGAAGTCATTCTCAGAAACAATTTATTTGATCAACAAGCAGTGCTTAGCTTAGGACTTCACACTTAGCAGGTACCTACTGTATGTTTGCTAAATTAATGAACTAATGAGCAATGAAGTGAATGAAGGAGCAGCTAAACACATTTCAAGGTAATGATTGTGAAGGCATTCACAGCAAGTAACTGCATTTGACCCTCCTGCAGAGTGGCCTGGTTTAAATGTTTCCCTCTAACTATATCATTCCAGTTTTACTTAGCACATATTTGATCATAGACACAGTTTTACCTAACCACTCCGATAACTGTATGCTTAACCATTCCCACACATTTGATTGCTACTGTAGCATTTTTCTCTATTATTCTTATTGCATGTTAGATGGCTTTCTGTGGATGTATTCTCATAATAGTAATAAGTATTTATTTATAATGTGGAAGACATTGTGCTAGTTGCTTTATACACGTCTTCCATAGTTTTTATGTTAGGTGAAATTCAGATTATAATTTCACTTTATAACTAAGATATTCTAAATTCTTCTAAGGTCATACAGCTAAAAGGTGAACGAATGAAAATCACCACCCATATCTTCCTACTACATGCTTTTTTTTTTTTTTAACCTGAGAATTACTGTCAATACACATAAATATTGAGGCACTTGGTATAAATTATCTAATTTATCCTGTACTGCAATAGCTTCCAAAGGTCATGAATCTGGCCTTTGAGAATGGGTAGGTCAGCGGCCACTGCATAATTTCATCAGAAGTAATAAAATACACTTTCAATCATGTATAGCATCAGTTACACATCACTATAAATTTCTAATTTTCTGGATCCCTCCAGGCGACAGTGGTCTGTCTCTCTGTTTCCTTGGACACGCACTGGTACTTATTCCATATGACCTCCCCGTGTGACCTTTGTAAAATCTCACTCCAACCACGTCACTTCCTGACTTCACATCAATCTTGACTCTATTTCTCTTTACTGCTGAGACCATGGGCTCTAGCTGGTCTATCAAACCCTCCCCATTCCAATCCCGGTCCACTCTGCCAGCCACGTGCCTGGCCACTGTTCCCAAGCTGCGGGTACAGGAGCCGTGGTGAGTTACTGGGAATTTCAGAACATCCCATTGTGTCGCCTCTCCACATTCTTGCTCTCTGCCTGAAACGCCAGCGACAATCTCAATCTTATTTATTTTTATCCTCACCCGAGGACATTTTTGTATTTATCTTTCTATAGAGCAGGGGGGTGGGGGAGAAACATTGACATGAGAGAGACACATCCGTGGTTGCCACCCACACGACCCCAACCAGGGCCAGGGACAAACTGCAACGGAGGAACGTGCCCTTAGGGGGAACCGAACCTGGGACTCTCTGGTCCACGGGCCGACACTCTAACTGCTGAGCCAAACCGGCCAGGGCCAATCTCAATCTTATTTTATGACTCACAGAACTTCTTCAAGATCCTCAAAGACAAATATATTTTTAAATTATTGCATCGCTGTACCCAGTGTCTGGTGTATAGAAGGTTTCAATAGATATCTGGATTGATTCAAGATTTTTAAAAATAACATTTTTCTGGGAAAACTCCCTGAAATCCAAGAGAAGTTGTTTCTTTCTCCCAGCTCCCTAGATGCCATGAAATTCTAATTGCCACATGATTACACAATGAGATTAAGTATTTTGTGTTTTTCTCCGGGACTAGGCTGAGCTCTTGGGTGGCAGAGACTAAATCTTACTCATACTTGGGTCCTTAACACCCAGCACACGGCCCGGCTTATCGTAAGCCTTCCTAGATTTCCTGGAATTGAAAATATAATTCCAAAGCACTCACATGTGCTGAGCAGGGTGAGCGTTATGCTTTTTATTTTACAGTTGAAGAAATGGAGACCCAAGGAGGGAGAAAATGTGTTCACTCCATTTTCATTTAAAACCAGGTAGACAGCGAGGGCGGGAGCCAGGTCCCCCACGCAGCTTGTAAAGCAGTATCGGTGGCCACTGAGGGGAGGCGGGCTGGGCCTCTCTTTCCGACACATCAGTCGCAGTCACCTTCAGTCCGCTCTTGAGACAAACAGGAGCACACCTATGTCTTCATGGAACAAGATGGGACGAAGGGACCCCGCTCCGCAGTCTTAGTGTTAGCCTGGGGGACAGATGACGGAGTCCTCTTTACGTTTGTCGGGACTAGAGTGATATATGCCAGGGGACAGGGCCACTGCTTGACCTTCTTTTCAAACTCTGGTCCTGCTGTGTCTCTCTGGCCAACTTCCCAGGGACCCCTTATCACTGGATTAAATTGGTTGTGCAAAATATTAAGTTATAAATATACAGGAGTGAGCATGCTTTCTTTTCTTATTTTATTTCTTTGGTATGTGCCCCTAGCGGAACCGAACCTGGGACTCTGGTCCGCAGGCGGATGCTCCAACCGCTCAGCCAAACTGGCCAGGGCCAGGTGTGGGTGTGCTTTAAAAAGGTCTTCTTTGTAGTCAAAAGTGTCCTTAGGGGCAATACATTACATGGCCCCATTTCCCTTTAGAAACTGCGCGTGCCTGCAGGTAAAAGCTCAGAGGGTAGCAGCCTTCCAAACTCCTTCCCCCATCCCTTGGCTATTTTTATTTTATTTTATTTTGTCACCCCATCAGATTGCATCTGATTTACCAGGATACATTAAGTGAAGGCCTGGAGTTTCAAGCCTCTGCCTGAGTCGAGCCGTTTACCTGGTGTGCCCAAATCAGAGACTGGGCACCTCAGGAGGAAGTTGAGAATAACTGGGCGGAGGTGGGGAGAGCTAAGCAGCAGCTCTGCCTGACTCTCCAGGTGGAAGGCATTTGAGGCTGACTTGTGTGCAGAGCTGGGGTGCACTGAGAGGACCCTGCAGCCCAGCCCTCTGCAGGGTGGGTGCGGGGGTCTGTTTCACTCTGGGCACTGCTGTGGATGGGGAAGAATTAACGATAAAATTTGGTCTGAGTCCAAAGGTGCCTTCGGCGGGTCTGCTGAAAATACTCAAAGCCCTGGGCCTGGTGGGAAGGCAGGAGAAGGACACCAAGCTCAAATAAGGAATCAGTTTCTTTTTAAATGGCAGGAGGGTATTAAACAGAGAATGAAACTAACTTTGCCACCTCATGCAGCACCCTATGCAAACACCTTCTCCGACAGGGCACAGCTGCTGGCTCAGTGCGCCTTCCGAGCAGCGGTGGCCTGAGGCTCAGAGGACGCCTGGCTATGGGGATGCGCCGGGAAGATGAAATAGGGAGGAGTAAATACACCAGGCGCTGCCCCAGCTGCTAGGGGGACACCCCAGGTAGTTGCGGCTCCGCCCCATCCTCTCTCTCGGCGGCGGGTGCGCTCACTCCCCAGCCCTGGGCCGCGGAAGGATATTGCACTTTGTTTACCGAGCCGGGGCCGAGCCCGCGAGCGGCGAGGCCAGCGCCCGCGCCCAGGGCCCGGAGCTGCAATGGCAGGGGCAGCCGCCTCGCCGCCGGCGGGCGCGGGGAGCCGCCCGAGGACTGGGCAGCCGTGAGGCTGATTGATGGGCGCCCGGCTCAATGAGGGGGGCCCGGGCGGGGGAGGGGCGGGGCCGGCTCCAGGCGGAGCCAGTGGTGGGTGCCGCGGATGGGGGCGGGGGCGGAGGCTCGCTGGAAATGTGTCGGTGACATTGAATGGGGAGACCGAGCGCGAGCGAGGCGCGCGCGCGCACACTCGCGCACACCCGGCCCCGCTAGCTCAGAGATCCCCGGCCACGTAAGTAACTATTAATACCGCCTCGCCGGGAGATGCGGGCGTGCTGAGCTCGGGGATTGGCCTCGGGCACCGTCGGCCATCCCCTTCAATTTTAAATACACGTTCCTCTTACCTCCGAGGGGGACAGAAACAAATAAAAGAAGAGGAAGAAACGCCGTCAAATTTCCTCCAAAACCAGCCCGTCCAGGCAATCGGGTTTGGGTTAGAGGGAGACGGAGTGGTTGCAAATTCTTCCAAGGCAGGATCCAGGTACCCAGAAGGAAGGAACGCCGCGGGCTGCAGGGCTGGGGGCGCATCCCCTTCCAGCTCCCGGAGGACCCCCAGAAGCTGTGGTCGGGGAAATCGGAGACCATTGATCTTGCCCCGGTCCCTGCCTGCATTTCTCCCTTTTTTCCGGAGGACAACCTGGAACACCAGCGAGCGGCGACAGCATGAGCCTGTGCTGACCTCCGGCCGGCCGGCCAAGCCCTGGGCTTTGTCGTGGTACCTGCGCCCGGCTCGCGCCGCAACTCTGCGCCCAGCTTTTGCAATCTTTTGTTGGCAGCGCTGACCGCTCTAAGTTAAATGCTCCCTGGCATTTTTGTGTGTGTGTGTGTCTGTTTGTTTAATTTTGGGAGAGCTCTTGCGATCTTGGAAAAGCCTCAGACGCCATCTACAGTTAAATCGTAGATAACTACCCTCTCCGGCACCCCCCCTTCCACGCCCCCCACCCTTTCCACCAAAAAAGGGGGTGCAGCGCGGATTCCGTCTGCCGCGCGGCGCGAGCCGGTAGACCCGTGCCGATTTCCTTTTTCTTTTTGTTGGGTTTCCGAGGCGTGGAGAGCAAGCCGCCGCGGTGCGCGCCCCGAAGACCGCACAGACTAGAGCAGGGCTCCTCCGCCCGGTCTGCGAGTCTGAAGCCTGCGTGGGGATCGCTCCGGGGGACCCGGTGCTGCAGCTCCCGCTTTAGCAATCCGACTCCTCGTCTACATCCACGTTGGAGAGAGAGGGGGAAAGAGAGAGAAACTAAAAGTGCGGAGATCCTGCACCTCGCTGGCTGCTGTGGGTTAACAAAAGGACCCGAGCCGCTGCCGACCGAGTACCCCCGGGAGCCGCGCTCGGAGCAGACCAGGTGCCCGGCGGCGCCCATTTGAGGCTGCTAACTCTTTCTCCGCGTCCCCCCTTCTCGTCCCCTCCCCTCGCGTCCCCTTTTAAAATCCGTGGCACCGAGGCGCCTGCAGCCGCACTCGCCAGCGACTCATCCCTCCAGCGGGTTTTTTTGTTGGTCGTGTGCGATCCCCACACTCATGAACATACACAGGTCCACCCCCATCACCATAGCGAGATATGGGAGATCGCGGAACAAAACCCAGGATTTCGAAGAGTTGTCGTCTATAAGGTCCGCCGAGCCCAGCCAGAGTTTCAGCCCGAACCTCGGCTCTCCGAGCCCGCCCGAGACTCCGAACTTGTCGCATTGCGTTTCTTGCATCGGGAAATACTTATTGTTGGAACCTCTGGAGGGAGACCACGTTTTCCGAGCGGTGCATCTGCACAGTGGAGAGGAGCTGGTGTGCAAGGTAAAGGGCCCCGGGTTTGCTTTTGCTTTTTGTCTTTCGGAGAGATTCCCCGGCCTTTTGGAGGGGGCCGGAGGGGGCGGGAGGTCGCCGAGCTCCGGGGTCTGGGGGAGGGAGAGTCTCCGCAGAATAATCCGTGGCCTTGCTAAATGGGTTTATTTATTTATTTGTTCCTGTGCGACTAGTTGTTGCGAAGTTTTTAGAGCGTTGCAGACAATGGGGCGGGCTGCGGCGGGGGCGTTTTGGGGAAAGCCCGGGGCTGGGAAGGCGGCGGGACCGCGCGAGGGCCACGGACACGCGTGGTCCCAGAGGCTCGTGGAGCTCCTCCGCGCAACGCTGGGTCCCACCGCCAAGGGGATTTCTCCCGGTGTTTAGCCCCCTCCCATTCCAACCGGGAGCAGGGAACCCCCCCCCCCCCATTTCAAGGCACAGATGCCTGGTTCCTTTCGTAGCCATTGTTCTGAGCAGCGTGCAGGTGTTAACCCTTTGTTCAGGAGGTGCCCTTTAAAAGAGACACACAAAGGTGTCCCCTCGGGCTGAGCCCAGGGGCCCGGCGGGGAAGGAGTTTACTGAGAGCTTTCTTCTGCCTGGAGCCTTAAAAGGAGGGTTGTGGGGAAATCAAAGCTGCCTGCACACCTTGGGGTATAGGAAATAGTGACTCCTTTGAGTCTTTCTCTCTGGTGCCGGTTTCTTCTCATCCTCAGACTTCCGTGCTTGCCCGTGGCCCCCCAGCCCCTGCCCCCCCCACCTTTGCCTGTATGGTTTGGAGCCTCAGGGATACCCGCTGTAATACAGAGATGGACACTGCGGGTTCCTTTTTGTCTTTGACCCTGAACAGTGACTGGTTTATGTATGTGTGTCTGTCTTTGTAGGCACCCACAGGGCACCAGACAAGGGAGTGAGCAGGAGAATAGTTGGGGGGGGGGGGGAGACATTAGAGCATACCGCTACCCAGGAATTGGACGTAGACCAAGAATTCATTGTCGCTTCATTTTAGATGTGCTCACTGTTGTTTTTCCTGGAAGGGAGGGGGGGGTGGAGAGGGGGGTGGTCATCAGGAGTGGGGTCCCTGCTGTCTTTGAAATGGTCACTCTGCACAGCTGTGCTACAAATAATGCATGACACTTTTGCCATTAACCACAGGCTGCTTTGTGGACTTGATTTCATAGGGGACTGGAGTATTTCATTGTAAAACATGGGTTTTGTGGAGGTCTCCAGTCAGTTTTGCAATTGTTCAGAATCAGATCTCAGGGGACAATAAGAGAGTCTTTTAATATTGCTCTCTGCTTGTACTGAGCATTTGGTATTTTGCATCTTCTCTGAGTTATTGACACCCAGAGCAACCGTGCCTGGTTAACCAAAATTCAGTAGGCTATTCAGAGCTGGATTGAATTCTCAGAAGACCTACAACGTTGCACAATAGGGTAGTCATCCTTTGAAATGAATGAGTTCCACAGAGCTGCCACTCTTATGAAATATGCGCAATCACCCAGCCGCGAGAGTGTGTTCACTCCTTTTGCTCAACTTCGGTACAGCATTTTCATATTTTTCAAAGGCTGGGAATGCTGTTAAGTAAGGGGACTCTGCCACCAAAATCTGCAGGAGCATCTCGCTGTTATTTCTTTGTTTAAAAGCAGAGGTGACTCTGGTCTCTGCTCTTTCTTGCTCCATTTCAGATTCTTCAAGACATATTTCACTTGGGGCTGACCTTACCATGTCATTTGCAGACTTGCTCCCTGGCCTGAAACTGTACTTAATCTGCTGGTTTTGTTATTGCAAAGATTGAATCAGCCCCTCACCAATTACTGTGTGACTGCAAGTGGATTTAAGTGCAGTATCATTGTTCTGCTTGACAGAGGTCATCCCTTTAAGACACAGCAGCGTCTGTTTTCCGGCCTTTTTTACCAGAGGTGATGTGGGGGACTTCTTATGCAAGCACAGTGGTATACACGAGATGCAGGAAGCTCCAAGTGGTTTTTTAAGGCTGCTTCTGTGAACTACCGTCAGCTGTATACTGTGGGCTCTCAGCTTACAGCAAGTCTCAGTGAAACCTATACATCGATTGAGTTCCTTTTGATGTCAGAATATAGAGTTCTTGTCTCCCTCCTAGCTCTGTGTTGCCCCAAGAAAAAAGTATGTGCAAAAACAGATCAAAAGTGAAGATGCCAGTCCTTATGGAGGACTCTAGAGGATTCTATAGGACATTATCTGGGGTTGTGGGGTGGGGATGAGGGTCATTTAAGCAAAGTAATCAAGCCTGTTTATTGTCTCCATGCCTACTTTAAGCAAAGGGAGGAAGGGGGCTTGAAGGGGGTTTTAGCTTATGGCTCTCATGGAAATGCTGGTAGCTGCTGTGCAGATTGGCATATTACTATCTTGGCAGAATGGGTGCCCCCCCCTTTGCAAATGCTATTAAAGATGGCCCAATCTTACTGTTTTATCTGAACTATCACATTATATAACCAAGACTCCAAATTAAACATTCAAAAGCAGCTGCCAGCCAGGCTCATGGCTTGCTTTTGCACTTGAAGCTGCTGGTTTACATACCAATCCAAGCCCATAAATGCCTGTTATAGCTGCTAATAAAAGTTTGGTTCCTACCCATTTGGGAAAACATTAGTACCGTCTTTATTTTTCATACTCTGTCCACCATCTTGGAATTTGGTCTCCTCTACAAAGGGAACGGCTGCCTATTGAAGCTGCCATGAATAGGTTTGGTTTTCCTTTTTTAATTCCACGTCCATTCAGTGTTTCAGTACTGTGTCAAGACCACGACTAAAGGTGCTGTGCAAAAAGCACTTTTTTTATTTTTTAAAAGTGCCCTTGAGGCAGGAACTCTGTGATAAATCATCATACCTCCATGCGCTCGGGCCCCAGAGCCTGCAGCCTGCAGAACAGGGCATCGGCGTTATGTAATAACACAGTGTCAACATTCACCTCTGCAGAACGTGTGTCACGCTGTGAGATTTCTGGGGCTGTCCTGGGTCTCTGCGACCTGCAGCCTGGGTATTACAGTTGACTCAAGCATTGCAGATGCTTAATGGAACGGACCTCCGAGGTCAATGCGCAGATGTCATCATTTGACAGTATCGGGGTGTGATTTGTGGTCTCTGGAGATGCCGAAGGACTCATTCTTAAAATCCAGGGCTTTCTTAAGATGGCTCATTATGGTTCATTCACAAAGTTACTGCGCTTCCTCGCCCAGGGTTTCGTACAGGCACTTCCGAGGTTCTTGCTCCCCCTGTGTGATTCACAGATTTTATTTTTTGAAGCCAAAAGTGACTTAACTCACGGATTCTTAGATGGCAGCCTGTATCCCTGGATGGGTTTCGGAAGGCTGTGTTTCCCCTGAAAACGAGTCCAGTATCATCATACGTGCATTTGAGAGGCTGAGCTTTTATCAGAGTCTCATGTGGGATCCAAACCCCAAAAAGGTCAACGGTTCTAAATCAACATCTTCGGTTTATGAAGAGGTGGCAGGTCCGTGACCCCACAGGCCTCGTCCAAATCAGGGGTGGCTCAGCCAGGATGAAAGCCTCAAATTTGGTTAATTTCCAGGCCACCACACTGCAAGATGCTGGTCAAGGATGGTATGCTTTTACTAATGAAAAAGAAATCTAACAACTTAATTGATGGCGAGCTGATAACATGAAGTGTCTGTCCTGTTGCTTGAGGTTCCTGGCCGGAGCCCCCACACCCTCGCACAAAATAGATTCTGGAACCCACACTCACAGACAGATAGTAAAACCACATTTCAAACCCAGGGATTTGTAGTCCTGATTTAGTGGAGGTCTGCAAATGAATGAAAGCTTCCCCCCCCCAAAAAAAAAATTCTCTCCAGGCTAATGCCTCTTATGTCAGTTTCAAAAAAAGATGTGGAGGGTGCATTTTTTTTTTTTTAAATAATCCCACTATGAGTTGGCATTTCACAGCCTCGTTTTGATTCCTAGGAAGTCATTGCGTAACTGATTCATTGAGCTAGAATCTATGGAGGGAATAGAGAAAGAATGTCTGCCTTCCTATGAACAGGGCTGCCTTCTATTCCCAGCTCTGCCACCAGGGGCTTGATTGGACTTGTTCTCGGAGGCTCAATTTCCAATTCTGTGAAATGAAGGTATTGAATTAGATCACCGTTAGGGAAGGCCTAGGGACTTATCTATGCATTGCTAAGTTTGCCTAGTGCTACACGACACCGTTGTGTAGCACAGAGTGATACACGGGTAAGTTGTACAGTGTTCATGTACATTTTTTTTTTCATTTTTCTTTTTTTAAGGAACATAAGATGTTGTCTATATAGCTTGGGATGGGTCACTCTCAGAATTTGCCTTAATTCTCCTCTAAACAGGCAGTTGGGATAGAGAGGAAAATAATAAAACAACCTTTCGTGGTAAGTTTTATTATTGCATCTTGCAAAACACTTTTCCTTTCACTTTCTCATATCATCCTCCCCACACTGTGAGTCAAGTAGCATTTGCCCATTTTACCCATGAGGACTTGGAGGCCCAGAGAGGTCAAGGGACTTCCTCAAGGCCACACAGCCGGTAGGACACAGTCCCAGTGTGGTCTGGGTTCCAGGGCAGCACACCCTGTGTCATCTCGGGCCGGTCCCTGTGGGAGGTGTTCGCCTTCTGTGGCCTGGTTGTCTGACGACCCCTGACTCTCGGTCTTGTTAATCCTGCCCTAGGTGTTTGATATCAGCTGCTACCAGGAGTCCCTGGCCCCATGCTTTTGCCTGTCTGCCCACAGCAACATCAACCAAATCACCGAAATTATCCTGGGGGAGACCAAAGCCTATGTGTTCTTTGAACGAAGCTATGGGGACATGCATTCCTTTGTGCGCACGTGCAAGAAGCTGAGGGAGGAGGAGGCGGCCAGACTGTTCTACCAGATCGCCTCTGCCGTGGCCCATTGCCACGACGGGGGGCTGGTGCTGCGCGACCTCAAGCTGCGGAAGTTCATCTTCAAAGACGAAGAAAGGTGAGTCTCGTTTCTGCCCAGACCCGTGCACGACCACAGGCTGCCCTGAGAGGCTCGCTGAGAGGTTGGAGCGGAGGCTGTTTTCCTGCCTGTTGCCTAGTGTGGACATGATACTGTAGAAAGGCGGGGGGCAGATGTGACCAGGTGTGACACGCCCTCGGAAAACAAGTCACCACTACTCTGAAGGTGCTCCGAGGAGAGCTGCAGGATATTATGTGACCTGGTCATTGTTTTGGTTTTGGTGTGAACTCTGAGGTGGCTGCCGGCCTTGGGTGACATTTTCAAGGTGAATGAGGCGAGATTTTCAAAATCCTATCTTCAGAACCCTCAGTGCCTGGCATCGGTCATTAAAAATCCATTCATTCATTCATTCATTCATTCAGGCATTCATTCATTCAGGCATTCGTTTAAAATTCATTCATTGAATTAGTCACAGTTCTCAGTGTTACGGAGGGCAAGATACATTACCTCGCCAACCGACCTATGAAGCCGGTGCTACAGGCCCTGAGTCAGGGTCGGAAGTGGGTCAGATGGGTTGGGGGCTGGGGCGGCAGTCCAGCGAGGATTCCGAGTCAGGAAAGTGTGTAAGAGATGGTTTGCAGCCAAGTCTGGAAAGATGACTATGTTACAGGCGACGCGGGAGGGGCCGACGCTCCAGGTGAGCGGGCCGCGGGGGGAAGTCTGTGGCGATGGAAGGTCTCTGTTATTTTCGGAGACAGCTGGACAGGATGCTGGGCATCTGGGTTCCATTTATGGTTCTTCCATTAACTCATTACATTCTATTTAGCAGACCCCACGGGGGCCCCGCTTTCTCCTCCAGCTGACTTTGATTGTAAAAACTCTTTCAAGTTACTTTTTTCATTTTAATAAAGTGCTTTTTCAGAGGGGCGGAGGCCGCTGATTTATATTCATTGCTGACGATTCCAAGAATTGTCCTAGAGGGTCTGCGTGAGCCACTGCGTGCATTCTCAGGACGGCCTACCGGGAAAGTGGTTAGGAGAGCGTAAGTCCCTGGTCACAGCTGTCGCAGGCCCTCTGGGTCCAGGTCTGGTGCGCGGCCTCCATTCACTCACTCCGCTCCCATTACCTTCGGGTGTCTGCCGGGTCTTGCTAGCAAACCTCTCTGCCTTCGGGTCTGTTTGCCATCTACCCCAGTGGCCTGTGCTGTTTGAAGCTGTTGCTTATGAGAGTCTGATGGCCTCCAAATGAGACGGGTCCAGCGGTGTGGGCTTTGGCTTCTCCATCTCTGTGGTTTGAGCTAATTGGGAAGGAAAAGTCTGGGAAGCATTTGGGGATTAAAAAAGGTAGAGGGCCTGTGGTTCCCTGACCCAGAAGGAGTAATTCCGTGAGCATGTATACTCCAGAGGAGTGGACAAAGCGAGACCACCTCTGGGTTTCCTAGACCCGCAGAGGTCCCGCTTTTTACCCACGAAGGGCCATCGGAGGTCTCTGTGGCAGCGACACCCCAGTCCTGGATAGCGACCGGCTCGGATTTCTTTTAACAAACTGAAGAAGAGGGAGCTATTCTAAGATCTGGGGGGCGGGGGGGCGCTTATCTTTTCTCTTCTGCAGCTTAGATGCTTCTGCCCCTGGAGCCTAGAGACCCAGGCCCTCATCCTGGCCTTGCCTTTAGTATTTTCTGTGACCTTAGGTTGGTCCCTTCCCCCGGCTCCAGTTCCCTATCCCTTGGTCCTGGCTCTGTTCTACTGGTTCGGCCATCTTTCTGAGTTATGGCCTTCCGGTATGGGCTTCTTGGGACACTGCCGTTTGGAAGGTTAGATATATATCTGACCCCCAGCCAGGTACGGACACAGGTGTCTTTCTTGCCCTGTGCGTGCTGCCTTCCATGGAGCTGTTATCCATTAACCGTGGCTGCGGATCTAAGCGCTAATATTTGGTGACGTCTGTAAGGTCCTTCTCTAAGGCCATCCTGTAACTGACCTCTGTCTACAAACTGGAGAGGTGACATCATCGTGCCGTTTTCTGGAGGGGCCTCGGTAGGGAAGGGCAGCGTGGTGGTCTCAAAGGCACAGGCAGGAGAGGACAGAAGTCGGGTGCACTCTCTTATCAGCTCTCAAGAGAGCCTCTTGCCTGACGGAGGAAGCGAGGACAACAGGCGCCCCCCCGAGGGGATCCCCGTTTTGAAGTGTCGGCTTTGGTCAGCTCTCTTCAGAGAGGGATTTCAGGACCGAGCCAGCGAATGGGGCGTCATGCCCAGGGACGGCACACCATGGTGAACAGACACTGCAGTGAGTCAGAGTAGGGGGATGTCCCCAGGCCCTTGGACCCAGGAGCAGGAGTGGACTCTAGGGTCCCGAGAGTCCGGGGAGCGGAGCCCAGCGGTGAGTACTCTCGTACCAGTGCGGGAAGCGAGTCAGGGCTGAGCCAGAGCTCACACGAACTGTTGTAGGGCTCTCCCCAGGCCTGGCCTGTCCTTGGTGACAGCGTGCATGTGAGTGCTGAGGGGCACATCGTGCAAAGCCAACAACATCCTTGGTGTCCTCGGGCCCCAGGAAGACACACCGAGATGCGCGAATTCCCACCGGGAGGGCCGTGGTCGCGGGTTCACTGTGGAGTCAAGCTTGATGTTTGCAAAAGCACATGAACCTTTCTAGAAAGAACTAGAGATAAGTATCCCATGTGAATAGGAAACAGAACAGTTCACCGGAGCAAACACGTCAAAGCTAAATCCTTTTTAAGTTTAAGGAGGGTTTGCCTTTTGAAAAAGAAAACATTAGTGACTGGTAGGGAGCTGGCTGTCACCTGTCCCTGACCTGTCTGAGAACCTGGGTCCCTGTAGCCCAGCTTTCGCCAGGAACCCACGGAGAGGGTGAGAACTCCCCCGTGTGGGTGGTGGTGATGGCCACGCAGGAGTGAAGTGACCTTGCTCAAGGTCACATCACCAGTTTGACCATGGTGCTAGCCCGGACACCCTGCCATTCCACCCCAGACCCCCACACCACGCTGCGGTCCCAGTGGACTTGCTGTTCTGAACGTGCCACGTGTCTCTGTCTGGGCAGGTCTGTGAAGGTCATGTTCGTTTTCAAGGACATACTAAATGTTCTCCTCAGCAGCTGCTGAAGACTTTTTTTTACCCAACTGTCAAGTTTTTGTAAAAGGGGAATAATGCCTAGTAGCGTTTTTTCTTCTCATTGTTGGTTTGGTGTTTAACCTCTCGATTTCAGAGTGTGAGACTCTGGTTAGTCACTCAGCACATTTGTCCCCCGTGGTTCCCGGCTGACACTGGCACAGCAGAGCTCCGTGGCCTGCGCGGTGTCCTGGCGGGAGCAGGAGTCCGGCAGGGGCCCTGGGACCTCCTTGGAGCCTCGCTGGTTCAGCCCTCCCCTTCTCTCCTAGTAACTAGGACCTAATCAGTAGGCATTTCAGTAGGGCTACCGCTTCCTCCTCTCCTGATTGAAAATGTGCGGAAGCAGTGGGTTGAATCAGAAAAACTTTTGGAAGAGAAAGGAGGGCACCTGCCTGTTTTGGAACCTTTATGCGCTGGCCCTCAGGAGGACAGGTACAGAAGAGCCTGGGAGGGGCCGCTTCATTCTTAATCTGCAAAACACCAGACACCTTCCGCACATTCGTCTTCTCAAAGACGAGCAGCTTCTTCCCTGATGACCTTGAAAGTGACTGAAGGAAACGCATTACCTCGTGCAACTGGCTGAGCGCCACCCGGTTCAGAGAGACCTGCCTGAGGGCGGGCTTCTGGGCATAGGTTTTCTGTTCCCGGCCACTTGTCGTTCCGAGCCCATGGTCATCCACGCAAACATTCTGAGGGGTGCTGTCAGCGCCCTACGTCCAGTTTGCCACAAGTTGCTTTGCAGACGTTGTACCCAGAGGACACCCAGCATTTTGTTCGACCCGACGCCCATGTGCCGTCTGCCTGCCTCTGGGTTCAATCGGCAGCATCTCAGGTCCTTCTGCTTCTGTTTTACTTTGATTTGGGTTCTGGATTCAAATTCCGGCTTCACCACTTACGAGCTCCCTGATCTCGGACAGGTGATTCCATGATGCTAGGCGGCTGCAGCTTCCAGGGCTGAACGAGTCCTCGCATCCCCGTGGGCTGGGTGTGGAAGTGAACGGAGGTGCCACTGTGACAGGCGTGGCTGATGGACCGCCCGTCTGAGAGTCGCTGACACAGCCGCACCCTGACCGTGAGCAGTGCCCAGGTTCTGTGAGTCCGTGGAGAGTGTGGCCCGTCTCTCCAGCAGCCATTTCTGTGAGGAGCAGAGCTCCTGTGATATAAGGGTTCAGGCTGAAGCCACATCCTGCTCTCTTTAGTTTAGTTGTCATCACTGAATCAGTGCTGGGAGGGCTCTGAGAGTCAAGTGCATGTGGTGTGGAGCCCGCGGCTAGGAATGGCTAGAGGTTGACCAGATGTACACGGGGACGGTGGACACGAGGCTCACCTAGGATGAAGGGTCCCACCCGCTGCGCTTGGACGGCCACTGTGTTTCCTGCCCTGCGGCTCCTCTTCTGCTCCGGGATGTTTCTGCAGAGCTCAGCCCCACTTCTTTGGAGGAAGTTAAACCCCTGATTGAATTCACCCTGGGCACGCCCTGGGCATCCATAGTTCCTGTAGTAGCATCTGAGTAGGAGGTGCCCCTGGTGTGGGTTGGGCCCTGAATCTGATGGAGGGCACTGCCCAAATCCTCAAGGGGTGTGCCCATGTCCTCCAGCCCCCCTCGCCCTGCTGAGGCCTCAGAGTGATCGCGTGGTCAGCTATCCCTTGGGGCCCTGGGCTTCAGTCTGAGCCTCGGCCTGTGGGTGGGAGCTGGCTGGTTCTCGCGTGTGGAGGCAGAGTCACTGGATACCAATCCCTGCTCTTGCCCTTAACCTTGCCAAGGGACCTGGCCTTTTCTGCTCAGGTGGCCCCATCTGTAAAGTGGAGATAACGAGACCTTCCCCCTGGGATTAAATAAATTAGTGCAGTGGACACCAAGCTTGGCTCCTTGCCAGCTCCTGCTGTCCCGCCGCCCCCCCTCCCCCCATGC